TTTTTTTGAACATATTTGCAAGGGGCGGGTTTCGAACCCAACTCGGGGAGGGAGGAATGCACCGGGGTGGCTATTGCCACTAGGCCGCAAGGGCCAGGTGCGTTGTAGATGTATTTATTGGTACTTCAAAATCAATAAATAATGATATATATCTAGTCTTAACTATTAACTTATGATTTGAGCTCCATAAAATAAAATAAAATAAAACTTATGATTTGAGATTTTATAGTTTCAAAAGTCAATTTAGGTAATATTTTAGAGTCATACTTATTTTTTATTACCAACACAAATCAAATGAATTTATAAAATGGAGGAGCATAAAAGATACTCCATAACAACGAGTACAAACTTTATAAAAATCACAGAGTCATACTTATTGGTTTTGACATATTTAACATTTAGATGGGCTTTATGAGCTTCTAGAACCATATATTTTGATGCTTCAACTTCCACTAACAAAAGGATGCATTTAACTAAATCAGAAATTTTAGGACTAAATCAAAATAAGGATATTGGGGATGACATCAAAACAGGGATAAAAGATTAAACACCAAATGACAAATAACCGTTTTAGTGGCACAATGGAAAAACTTGGCCAGAGGTCACATCGCATATGATGATGGTACGTGGAGCAAATGGGGGATGAATTTGAACTGGATTAAAAATTGGAGGACTAAATCCAAACCGTTAAAAGATTAAAGACCAAAAGGGATATTAATTCTTAGTGGTACAATGAAAAATCTGCCTGAATGGTCATATCACATGTGATGATTGTGATGGCAGCGAATGGATACGTGGAGGTGGAGCAAATGGGAGAAAGACGATGATGATGGTCATTGTAAACGAGGATGTTGATGCATGATGGCTTATGTGTGCATGGACTACATGTCGCGTTCTGTAGCCGGCAATCCAAAATTAAAAGCCACTTTATTTGTCCCCCAACACATGATTTATCTTTGCTTTTCTTTGTCTCCTCCCCTCTCAATTCCTCATTACCCAATAAACTCCCGTCTACGTAGCTCCGAGTCTCCAACTCACCCCCCTAAATGTCCTCTCTTCATTTTTTTTTTCATATATATATCTATATATTCATACATTTTAATTTTCCTTAATTTTCTTAAATTATTAGTGAAATCTAATTAAAACACACAATCAAGTTTAAAAGCAGTTTGATAATGAGGTTTTTGATTTACTTCTGCTATATATAGTTTGAAGGAAACCGATGGAAAGAGAAAAAATGAGGAAAAATAGTTGCTCCTTGTTCCTTCGCTTGATTATATTAAAATTATAAAACAAAATAAATTCCCCCTTTCCCTCTAATTTTTGTTATTCAAAATGAAAAATTTTTCTTGCTTCCCTCACCTCTCCTCCCCTCCTTTGAAACCAAATCAACTATGACAAAGACAATAATTTTTGCTTTTCCCTTTTTTAATGATTTATGTATCATTATTCTATTAGTGGTTATAATATATAGATTGAGTGTAATTTGTAATGTATATATATGTACTTCACATTAAAAAAAAAAAAATTAAAGGGGTTTGGCAATGCTAGATCATATTTCCGTGATATATTTAGTCACGATGAGAAATTTTAGACACAATTAGCTAAGAACTTTCATAATGTATAAAATAGGCACCCTTAAGAGGAAATTATAAGGGGGACATTAGATGATGGGATTATTTTCCATTAATGCCCTCTAATATTCCATTTAGTGGGACTCAGTATATGCTGGCCTACAACCATGTGCACAATAGTTTTTTTGTTGGTGGGATCCAATCATGTGAGTGGAGGGGTAATTGTGACATTAAAATTATAAAATGAAAATAAAGAAGGAATCTCCCCCTCACCCTCCCGTGTTAATATAGAATGAGATGCAATGAGTGGGATGGTTGAATTTGTTATATTTGCCTCAACAACACCTGTTTTTTCTTGTGCCTTTCTTTTGATATTGCCTTCATTGACTTATTGCGTGCCAAAAATAATTCATAATAATATTAAAAACGGTAGTTTTTGGCTTATGAGGAAATTTTTAGAGAAAAAATAATTTATTGATAGTGAAATCTCATAAGGTGATGTGATGTTATTCTTGCTGGCAGTTTTTATTCGAGTAAGATTAATAAATTAGTATATATTCACTTGTTTTAGGGCATATTTCTATGATTGTGGAGCTAGTACATTTTGTATTTTATCTAATTTAGTCAAAACATGGTTTTATTATAGGCAATATAGTCAATGTGTAATGCTTTTTTTTTT